TGGGGCTAATTTCGGCCGGAGGGTATGATGAAACGCGGTAATAATTGCGTTATCCAGACAAAGGACGGTTATGGATACGCGCCGCCGCCACTGCCGGCGTTTCCAACGTGGAGGCACCATCCCTCGGATCCTCCGCCCACCCCCGAGGGTGCTGCTGTGCCGGATAATGTAGGAGGGCCTCCTTCCCTTTCGCTCCGCGTACCGCAAATATGGCTGCTTTAACGAAGTCCGCGACTATGGTGCACCATATTGTTCTCCCTGCAGCCATGTGTGTGCCGCTATTCGCTTAAACACCGACATCCTATCGTTCCTCCAGGAGGGAAATTTCTGATTTTTAATTCATCCTCAAAATAGTTTTGATGTTCAAAAGTATTCTATTGTATCTTTTTTCAAGTAGATAGTCGGAAAACGAGGCAGTATTAAATGTTTCAGCAAAATGTTTTCAGCGGTTTTGAATTACAATTTCGTCGCGCTTTCATCTTATTAAAATAATACGTTATCAAACGTCAATGTGACAGAATGTTTATTTCAGAAATTAGTCATCCGCGAAGAATGCGAAATAGCCGATCTTTTCCATAGATAAGTTCGAGACGAGATGACAAATGCGACGATTTGACAGTTTTTTTTGAAGGAGGAGAATCCTTTTGTAATGCTGCCAGTGGAATGGTAAATAAGCTCGTCGTGGGTAGGCAGAGCATTATTTATGGGAATGTAATTTAATAACCGAAAGATGAACAGGGAGATATATACCGGTGACGTCGGCCGGAAAGCCGAAAGTGGCATGAAAGTAACAGCCATGCGATCGGCCGTCCCTCCGTGTCTTTCCGCGTCCTCCCAGCCAGCCATATGGCCCGGGCCGCTCCTCTGCCACCACCTCGAGAGATTCCGGGGGTGCGAAATGATATGGAAGTAATAGAGAGAGCAAAGCGGAGCCGGTTGCGCCTCGACGGGAGATTGAGTCGCGCGATAGAAACGGAGCGACGCTACCACGCACCGGCGCGAAAGAGCGATGACAGATTGATACAATTCCGGCGAGATTTGACGCGACAGATTTTCTGCCAACTGTTGTCGTCGCGCTGGTCATTACGTCGAATTAAAGCTATGACCGAAAATGTGATCGAGCGAGGATCTTGTTCATTCTTTAGTTTCAACCAGGTCTTACCGTAATAGAATTTTAATCTGAATAATTTGCCAATATTACGTATGGAATGTTAAAAGATAAGACTAGCAAAAGATTAATAACTGTGGAAAATATTAACATTTGAAAGATATATTCCTTAAATTTCACTTAGCGATCTGTAAAGAAACTTCAAGCTCAACTCGTTCAGCATTCAAGCATTGTCCAATGTTATGAGTAACCCGCGAGCGGAGAATTCTCGACCGAGACAACGGGAAGTCAAGGGAGCGGCAGCTTCTTCCCTTGGCCCTTATATCGACTCTGTCGTAACTTGCGGCTTTACAGGCGAATGCGAGAGGCATGCGAGAGCGTGACGTCGGGGGCTGCGTCGAGGAAACGAGAAGAAGGAGGCTGTGAACCCGGCGTAAAGCTCTCGGGCGGACCTCGCTCCTTATCGATCTGCTCCTGAGACTCCTCCGACTAAGGAGGAGGGAAAGAGGGATCGACACCAAGAAAGCGAGAGAGAGAGAGAGAGAGAGAGAGAGAGAGAGAGAGAGAGAGAGAGAGAAAGAGAGTCGGTAGGTCTTTGCGGGTTTGTATACGTGTAAGATAGACTTCGGTAGAGAACCGCCTACTCGACCGTGACTCCGCAGCCGAAGCCGAGCCTATCAATATTTCCTCCCGAAATTCACCGTAGCTCCTTCGGCAATTCTTCTCTCTTTATATTCTTTTTTTTAGATACTCCCGGTTTCGTCTACATCTTTCTCGATCGTCGTGCTCCCGCAATAGTTGCGTTCGCTTTTTCCATTGTATGTGAATCTTATATTATTTGATCATCATATTTCACTCTTTTTTTACTAATTATTCACGCACTTATGTTAAACTCGACTCTCCATTAATACTCTTTTAACCTGGTCGACGTATTAAATAAATTGGCGACACAAAACTCCTTTTACTAGAAAAAGAAAAGCCATCTTCGTAAGAACCACGCGAAGGGAAACGTTCTCTTTTAATCACGACGGGCATTCTGCGTTTCATAAAGAGCGCGCAATGAGAACAATAGGAAGAAGTCGCTGCGTCGGCGTCTTTAGCGAATGAAGAAGAGGCTCGGAACTGTTAGCGTCCAATCTTCTCTCCGTTTTTCGCCTATTTTTCGCCGCTCTCCTCAATCCCGTCTCATACACGGGATATATAACTGTTATTTTTCGCGAAAGCCACTCCATTATTTCGCTCTTCTCTCCGTTCTTTTTTTACTTCGCACGACTCCCATGCCGCTCCTTTACTCTCGCTCTTTCTCTTTCTGTCCCGCGTTTGCGGACGGTCTCATTTCGAAGTGCTCCGGCAAAGCAAGACAATACATTATATTAGCTGTATCATTATTTCTCCATTCCGAAAGCTACCTCGAAGCTAGAAAAACCGGGACACGCTCATAATGGGAGAAATCCCGGTATACTACCGCGCCCCGGTCGCTGATGCACCCAGTTCCTGTTTCTTCGCAACGAAATCCCATTTGATATCGAGACCTTTCTCTCTCTTTATACTCTTTTCTTTAAATTAACTTCCAGCTGTATCAAAGGATCGTCGATGAAAGCACGATTCGATCGATCTGAAGGTCCTCTTTTTCATTTCTTATTCTTCTCTATCTAGTTTCCTTTTGCTTTACTAATCCAGTCTACCGGTGTTTAAAAATCGTAACATCGACATTTGACAAGCTTGTTTAAGCTTGTTTTTATTAAGTCGTAAAATCTCTGCGCGCCGGCTCGCCGTTTTTCGACGAGCTTACTTTCTTGTTTCGCGCTACCGCACCGTCGCGCCGGTTTCGATGAATCTCATATTTGTTTGTATTCCGCCTCGATACTTTTCGCGGAATTTAAAAGCATTTAAAATATCTCTCGTTATCAGTCGTTACACAATTAGCCTGCGGGAATACGTACTGAATGCGTGGGCATTTTCTAAAAGGAAACGCGAGCGCGTTTCTATCCGTTGCTCGTCGAGCGGAAATGCATTTACTTGTACCGAATGGATGGAAGGGCGGAAGGTTGCGGGTTTGGTGTACGTGAGTGGGTGATGGTACGTTGGACAGATGCATATAGATAGCGAGCGAGCGAGATAGGTAGGTAGGTAGGTAGATAGGTAGGTAGGTAGGTAGGTAGGTAGGTAGGTAGGTAGGTAAGTATCCGCGGGGTAAGTTTTTCCAGGCGATCTGCTCTCCGGATTCAGATCAATACCCGCCATCTGGGCCTCGAGTCGGGGGATAGGGACAAGGAGGAAAAGGAATCGCGGCGTCGAGAAGGAGACCGTGGCCAAAGAGAGCAAGAGGGAGAACGAGAAGTCAGGAGGAGGCGAGAGAGCGTGTGCCGGAGGTGGAGCCGGAGGTGGAGGAGTCACTCGAGCAACAAGCCACCGCCGCACCCTCGACTGCAATCCTAGACACATCGAAAACCTCGGCCAGAAAGTAATTCCTGTACCTACACACGCCCACGTTTCACGCTACCGTGACCGCGCGACGGCTGTAGTGGAGGAATGAAAATATGTGCGAGGTATCTCTTATGATCGCAAAGTAAGCTTGACGAAACAGCAGAGAATGTGACGGGGAGAGACGTTAATTGCTTTCTATTTGGGTAACCACTGTTATGCAAGTTTATTAAAACTTTCTCTCGTGGCGTAACAATTATCTTATATGGCTCGAGCTCGTATCAAATACGAAAGAAAATCACGTGAAAAAGATGGAGGGAGAAAAATTAACTTAATTGAAAAGATCCATTTTACGTGAGTGAATCGAGAGAACGGATTCTTCTTTTTACAGCGATGGAAATTTTCTGGAAGAGAGTGATATCACGAGCGTGTGTAATTGTGCCCGGTCCGATCCCTCACGCGCAACCGCGACGCGGAATTTAAATAAGCGGCCGCGCGTAGCACTTACGTCGTTACATGGGCGCTAACTCATTTGCGTGCGTTTCCATTAGTGACTGCGGCCCGCAGAAATCGCGTTAGTGAATTTCACTTGCTGGCAATTCGATTCGCATTACGCTCCATTTCATTATCGGCTGCGTATGCGAGAGAAACGGAGTCGGAAAG